CCCCCCCCCCCCCGGCACTAAAATCCCGTTCCCCACTAAAAGTGCAGAATTCTTCTTGCCTGTGTTATCACGCCGGCATCGGTTGAGACAGAATTTGCGGCTTGATTCTCACGGAAGTCAGATGTAGCCTCTTTATCATCAAACTGTGGCACCTCGGTGCACTCACAACCATCCGTCATCCACCCCAAGCTGCCTAGCCTCATGTTATCTTGTAAACTTTTGGCTTCACACAAAAGTTTGTTTACGTCTCGGGCTATGGGCGGTGCGTGCGAACGAACTAAACCTCCTCCACACTGATTGGCGGCCGTGTGGATGATGGCCCATTGTCATTGGCTAAGCTGTCTGTAATCTGATTGGTCGTGCCCTGTAGACCGACAACATCACCCAACTGGCCGTCGATCACCTCCAGGCCACCGTCAACGGGCTCCACAGCACCCTGTTGAGCCTCAACGAGCGTCGAGAGAGATGGCTTCGAGGAGAAACCTCTTCCGAACCGGAGAACGCGCCAACAACGGAAGAAGCGAAGAAGGCGCAGGTGAGTTTGAAGCCCTAGCACACCACGATTCATTTCCATGATTGTCGACACCACCACCACCACCACCGTTCTCCTACTGTTTTAGTAATCATGGCGTCCATCGACTCTCCACAAAGTCTTCCCCTCGATCAGGACATGGCTCTATTTTGATTACTTTAAATCCCTATTTCTATGGCTTCGCCCTGCACTTCTATTGGTCCGAATAACTTCTCTGCTCCCACTGTTTTTTGATTGGCTGGTAGTGGCGATCGCTGTTCCTTTGGTGATTGGGCGGAATGCTAGGCGCTGATTCGTGCGTTCCCTCGCGGCTGATTGGTTGTTGGACGCTGTGTCGTGCATTTTCCATCTTCACGTCTCACAAAGTATATTTTTTGTCCAAAAAAGGATCCTATAGAACAGCCAATCAGGAAAAGGAAAGGGAATTCGGCAAGATGGAGCGAAGTGGAGCAACACGCAGGTCTAATCAGCGTCGTCTTCACCGCCCAAACGATTCATTTCCATGTGGTGTGAGTGGATGTAATGCGGCGTTTTGATGTGGATCGGAGAACCGCAGATCATGTTGTAAGGGTAGGAGCCGTGTGCGTCAAGGGCAGCGGTAACCAATAGATGGAGTTCATGAGTCAAGGTCTCGTGGCGATAGGCTACGCGAATGTTGGGCAGATTGGTGCGCGTGATGTCGTTGCCGGGCACACCCTCCTCCCAGTAGTTCGGACCAAGCCAGTAAGATTTCACCTAAGGCAAATTAAACCACCTACTGAATTCAAATAAGTAGACGAAAATTTGTTGTAGAGTGAACAGAGCGCACCACTTCGGGAAATCCACTGATGAGAACCGAGTTGCGCGCCAACTCGCACATGTCCGTGGAACTGAGCTTCCAGACCTGGGTGGCGATGCTGTACTCCTCCATGAGGGGCTCCTTAGTGAAATGAAACTGGAGGGGATCATCGGTGGAGAGGCAGACGTGGAGACCGCGGGCGAGGAAATCATTTAGGGGGTTGCGAGGATACTCCAGAAAGAGAGAATTGTTGCTCAGCGGAGACATTGCCAACCCGATCTGTAGTGAGCCATTAGTAAATACTGTTTACTTATAGGTAATCAGTAGCAAGTAGTTTTAAAGCCTCAGAATTGAGAGTGCTACCTGACACAGGTAGAAGAGGTACTGAAGAACGGGCGCCTTCCTCAAAAGCAGACCGTGGTTGATGGATTCAGCCAGGAGGAAGGTGGAAATCAAATGGCTCACGCTTCCAGCCTCTCCACAGTGCGGTCGGAATGCGAATGTGTGCATTCCTCGGTGTCTTAAGTACACACGATAAAATATTGATCAACAACAGATACAAAACAGACAATTTAATCACTAGGAGGTTAAAGTGAAAACGAAGCGCCTAACTGTAAACACTCTGATCAGTTTGGTGCCCTCTACTTATTTGCATTTAAGTAGACTGCATCGACCTGCTCAAACACGTCTGTGACCTAGTAAGCTCCGATTTGGCACAAAAGTAGCATAATATTGATCGACGAAATTCGTAACAACTGATTCAAAACAGACAATTTAATCACTAGAGGGTTAAAGTGAAAACGAGGTTTGCAACTGCAGACACTGTGATCAGTTCGGTGCCATCTACTTATTTGCCATTTAAGTAGACTGCGTCAACCTGAAAATTGGCGAGAACACACTCACCGCCTCAATTGATTGAGCACAGCGAGATTAGCATACATATAGAAGATGTAATAGGCGTAGGGCGGGTTTTCCGGACGGTCCCAAAGATCGGGTGTTGGAATGCCATGATCGAAATGGACGACGCCCACCTTGGACTCGTCGTCGACGGAGTCGAAGGCGCTCACGTGTTCCAGGAAGGCGTGCAACTGTGGATGCGATCTGGGGTCAAGCGTCACCTCAAACAGCGGCTGGAATATGTTGATGATCATGTCCTGCAATTTGACCAATCAAATCACGCAGTCATCTCGAGCCAATCAGAATGCAGAACGGACTAATTCTTAGCCAATGGCGTATAAGGCAACGCACCTGGAAGTTGCTGACAGCGCCTTTCGACTTGTAGACGTCGTAGAGACGTGGAACCTGGATGACCCAGCGAATGTTTGGAGAGTAGACTCGGAAATTGGCGGCCCAAGTTGCAAGGTCGTCCCACTCCTGCTTCGATCTGCCGTAAATCGATAGACGCGGCTCGGCATTCTGGTACTTCGACTCCTCAAGGTCAGAGAAGACCTCCTGAGAAACAAAAACGACGTCAGCAACTACTTGGACTGGAAGCAATTCAGGGGAACCCGACCAAACTCCACCTTGATGACGTGGGCGAAGAATTCGCCTTTGCAGTAGTTGTCGGTTTTCAGGAAGACCTCCCTCAACTGACTCTGACCAATCGGGTTGTACTTGGCGTTGAACTTGTCGAATCGATGGAATGTATTGCGATCCTGAAGGACACAAACACGGAAACAGCTGGAAGGTGAGCCTGTGATTGGTTGGAATTTCGATCAGAACCTACGCAAATAAATGCTCGTTGACTCACCGCGTGAACATCAAGATTGTCGATGTTCATTTCGTAAGCAGTGATTCCTAGTTGATCAACCAACTGAAATGTAAACCAGAAACATGACGTTAGCTGATCAAAAGTTTAAAATTTAGAAAGCAGAATTGAGCCTAGCTCATCACCTGACTACGGGAGTGTCTGATTGGCTACGAGATTGCGCTCCATTTTCAAACTATCAAATCAGAAAAAAACACACACACACAACAGCAATGCTTCTGTCATTGCAACATCTACGAGGTTTTGCACGACGTACCTGCTTCAACGTGATTGGCTGGTTGGTTGTCTTGTCCAGGCAAACCAACTCGTCCTCTCGTGTGCGAAGGCATTTCTTAATGAAACGCAGGAGGTGCTTCTGATTCATACACGACGCCGCATGCACGTGGGTATCAACCTGAAAAGGTACTCATTTTGAACATTGACAGAAACCAATATCGGCAGCAAAAATCAATACTATCGTCTGCGCATGTTCTCGCGACATGTTGGAATCTGGGACTTCGGCTTTAGATCAATGACAAGCTGGCCGCCATTCACCAGAATGCACCGTTGGGTCTGCTTCCAGATCAATTCTGACAATTCAAAGATCCATGAGCCATCATCTACTCTACCATCGACGTCCAGACAGTAGTAGTAGTGGTATTTCGACTAGTCAACCACCTCACGCCTAGAAATTCACCCTAGAGCACGGTTCTACGCCCCCGTGAGTGAAACTAACTTTTCGGATGTTGTAGAAGTCGCGGTGTGGAACATTCCTCTGTTCCAACGACTCCGCGCCCTCGTTCAGGAGCACGTGCAATGCGAACTTGGAGCTGAGGTAGCAGAGGCGTCGGTAGGCGAAGGATTTGAGCGGACCGCTCGCCACAAACGCGCGCATCTGCTTCTCGTCGCGAACGAAGGCTTCGAGGGTGAAGGTGGGAAATTGCGGGAGGTCTGCGACGCCAGCGTTCGCTTCCGAAGTCGCGGCGTCGCCGCTGGGGGCACAGCTTACGCCACTGAAGTGCGCGATGCCTTGCTCGAAGTACACCTCAGCTGGCAGCGCCTTGGGCCAATGCTTCACCTCGAATGGGTCTTCAATTGGTCCGGGTGGATGAATTGGATGATCTAGAGGTGGGCATCGCCGAAGCATTAGACGGTGACGGCTGTCGGGTTACTTCGTGTAAATCATGAAGGCATTACCAACATGCAAAAGAAGTAGGACACTTAATAACTGTCGCAGACATGCATACGACTCGGACCTAAACGCCAATCAAACCATCCAATACGTGCCCGTCACGTGCACACTGTCTTTTGTATGTAAAGATTTAAAAAAAAACTGCCTGAAAAGATGCCAATTTTGCTGAACCAATCGTGGCTAAGGAGGCGTCACGTGAGTAACCAATCACACTTACGGAGCAGTCGATTGGATAACCAATCAGTGAGTTAGCTTAAATTACGACTGTCCAATCGGGTTAGACTAATCGGGAAATCGATAGACGGCAGTTACCGCATACGTTGCCGATGGAAAACAGGTGAGGAATGCATGCGACAAGACCGCAAAAGGGAGCTTTACGAGCACAAACCTGTTTTGTTACGAGAACGTGCGCTCGTGGGTGGTCAATGCGCAAACACCCATTTCCAGAACCATGCCAACAAACCACAGTTACACACTTTACCTTCTTCATCAACTTCCTCGGGTTCCGATGCTAGAAAAATTCAAAGTTATTTCCGAAACCAGAGTCGTACATCGCACTAACTAATCAATTCGCATGTGTCAATAAGTGCGTTCATGACTACGCGTTCAATAGTGTGGTTGATTAAAATTGAAGAGCCTGAATTGATTGTACGAAAGACACAAGATTGGACGAGACACCTCTTTTGTTGTGATTGGTCAATTGCGGCCAATCAGAGCGGTGGCCCTGAAGCAGGTCAAAATGCTAGCAGATTACCTGAAAACGCTTAATAGCAGAAATCGTCTGAATGAGGCCGTGTCTAAACTACAGGCGAACCAACTTGCATGTAAGTCCGTGCAAATTGTGGATTTTCAATTCATTTAAACAAACACGAAAGACACCCATCATCATCATCATCCAGTACTCACTTCGAGAATAAAGGTTTAAAAAAAATTGAATGCTCAGCCCATGGCAAATGTCCGACACACCCAGTCATTAAAAATCTTTTTGCCCGCAATAATGTAAACAGAGAGGGGGGGAGGGAGGACGAGAGAGGGAGTTGCTTGGGCCACAAGTCGACCAATCACCGTTTGGACATTGCCGGCGCAGCAATTATCTCCCCCCCCCCTCTGGTGAGCTTAAATTCTGTCCAAGAAAATGAGCAAGAGAATTAGCTCCAGTGGCGATTTCTTAGATTCGAACTCGACTCTGTAGGAGCAAAGGCAAAATGAAGGTGCATTGAGTGATCGAGTGAGGGAGACAGACAGACAACAGACGACGCACGAATCAGGCACTGAGGAGAGACTTGCCATGAGGAGACGTCTGCGTTGTGTAGTGCTTATCGTCCATCCGGGGCTGCAACTCCTGTATGCATCCGACTTGAGCGAGTTTCAGGTACCGATCGGCAGTTGGACCGTTCCTTTGCAAGGAGGCCTGCATGTATTTCCGCCGTAGTTCCATGGCCTTCAGAAGAGCCAGCGCGGCTTCCTGTAGATCGTCCACGGAAACCTGCAATTTCTAAGAGGATCACTGAAACAGATGAGAGGATGTGGATGAGGAGAATATGGAGGAGGAGGAGGAGCAGGATGTGGAGGATGAGGAGGATGTGGTGGAGGGGGAGGAGGGTGTGGAGGGGAAGTAGGAGGAGGGTGGGGTGGAGGAGGATGTGGAGGAGGAGGGTGTGGTGGAGGAGGAGGAGGATGTAGTGGAGGAGGAGGAGGAGGATGTAGTGGAGGAGGAGGAGGGTGTGGTGGAGGAGGAGGAGCAGGATGTGGAGGAGGAGGGTGCGGTGGAGGAGGGGGAGGAGGATGTGGTGGAGGAGGACGTGGTGGAGGGGGAAAAGGAGGGTGTGGTGGAGGAGGAGGAGTAGGATGTGGAGGAGGGGGAGGAGGATGTGGAGGAGGAGGAGTACCCAGTAAGACAGACCCCCAATAATTCAAGGTGACTTTTCACTTCAGCAAAGGCACAAGCAAATTCTACCCTGTACTCATTAGAAGCTGATTAATTTGTCAATTAGGTAAAATTAGTTTGACTAACGTCACAGAACCAGACATGACGTTTGTGCTTAACGTGTGTGTGTGTGACCAAGGCGGAGTCAGGTAGAGACGGGTGTGGTCATGGAGTGGCTTAAGGAGCGGACCAACACTTTCTCCAGATGAGTCAGTGGAAGATGGAATTAGTTGTGGGAATCTGGTGGAAGAGAACGAGAATTGGACGAATTCTACGCGCGGAAAACGACCTTTGCCAAGACCACCTTAACCCATGAGCTAATTCGAGTAAGGTAATCTCTTGCCACACGCGCCACGAACAATGACATCGAATACTGTCAACTGGCCAAGAAGGATTAGACACTATTGAAGTACTTCATTTGATTGAAATTGCTGGACACGGGAATCGAGAACCCAACGCGACCTATCAACGCTTCAGCCAATGCGTAGCCAGCCAGCTTTACAATAAGAAGGCGGTCGGATGTGGACGTAACGACGTCGACGTACCCGGTTATTCGACAACGCAATACCTTCGTGTTGTGTGGAATTCTGCGTCAGCAGATGTACACTAATGTGTCAAGTTGCCAGCAGTCGAGGTAGCGACAAAACCGTGAAACGCCACATGCACATTAAACCAACGATCTTGAGAGTCCTTCGCCAATTGGCTGATGAGTATTCATATAGGAACACGTCTCCTCAGAAACTTGGACGAGAATTCTCGAGGTGCTAGATAACAACCGCGAGTGGTTCTAGGAGTGCTCAAAATAGACTCAACATCGAATTCGGCACGGCTAGAAAATTGTTTGAACGAAATCGCACCAAAAATCAATGATTTGCGGATCGACAAAACGGAAATCGAGTAGTAGAACTTGGCTGCACGTCCGATTCCCTACAGCGATTTCTGGAATTCGCAAGACATCAGCAGCATCCACTGCTAGCGATGGGATTCATTAATTCGCTTTCCAAAACGACACAATCTGGTCGAAAATGCCGATACGCCTTTGAACCGGTTTTGGTAAACCTGCATCTCGGCTGTTATTGCACAAATTCACGATGATGATGCAGCTAAAATGTCAACCAATAGGCATCTCCCTGTTTTCGTGATTGAGTAGAATCGACCTCTTTACCGGAAATAACAACGATTCTGGAAAGTGAATCATCGACGTCGCTTGGATTTACTTCAAGTTTCCTGAAATTTATCTACGACCACCGATGATATTTGCAAAATTGCATTCCAACATCACTGCGCGATCTAGGTTAACTCCAGATTATATCGATCCACTTTAAAACCAACTTCGGTAAACCGGCATCTCCATCAAATCACACAAACGGACGATGATGTGGGCGATGTGTCAACCACTAGGGGCAAATCCAAATCAACTCTAGCTCTCCCTTTCGTCGTTAATAGGTTAAAGATCAGGATCACTCTGGTCGAATTCCCGAGCCCTAATGAGAAGAATACAGGTTCAACAGAGCAAAATGTTTTGACCCACTACCACCCAGAATCCGTCTGAGTCCCTTATACTGGCTGCCTCGCTCACTAAACAGTGCTTCTCAATCATCCCTGTGTCTGGTTGGCTGATTTTCTTCGACGCAGTCCACTCAGACACACAAAGACAGAGGATTGGTTGAGCTTGGCGTGATCCAATAAGTCTGCGCCCGGACACCACACTGCACCAGAAGCGAACTTTGAGGGATTTAGTGGTTTGGGCGCATTCTAATTTCGAAAATTAACTATTCCATATCATCAACCAAAATAAGCTAATTTTGGATTCAAACAAAGTCTGATATGAGGAGAATGAAGTTGACTGTGGACTTCTGGAAACTCCGGTGGCGATTGGGCAAAAGCAGGGTCTCGGATATCGGGAGTGACCTTGAAACCAGCTCAAGGATACAGCGAACGCAGTTGTGGAGCAGTTGATTTAAACAAACACACGCACACACAAGTACCGCTTTTGATAACGATGTAGAAAAACAAGCATTAAAGCACTTGATCGGAACGGCCGTTAAGAGGATTGCAACTGCACCTCCAATAAACAAAGCAGAAATTTTTGTTTGCTAAAAAGATGCAAATGAGATAATAAAAAAATAGAAAAAAATACACACACAACATTTATTGCACTAATGAATAATGCGTAAACTAACGATAGCACTTTAATTAAAGTACATTTTGACGAAGTCACAATACAGATGCTTGCAGTATTTTCAAAAAAATAGGGATTTTGGTGTTGACTTTAGCCAGTGTGTTGATGATTAGAAGGGACTATGGCAATGGCGGACTGGATTCGACCGCGGAATAAAAAATTGTCAGCCATCCATTCAATTACGCGGATCTGTGCCAAGATAGACGTGACGGAAAATGGTTCCACTTTGCACGAAGTTTAGTCCAAATTAAACGGTTATTGTTAAATTTGAATTAAAATTTGCTTGAACAGTCTTTGATTACGAATCCCTCTCACCAACCAACCAATCAGAGTTAGAAGTATCTAGTGACGGGAAGTACTCATTTGTCTGACGCACATTTGCGATGTGGAAACATTGTTTTATCAAAAAGACATTGTTCGTGAGAAATAAGGCTATTGTAACTTCTCTGGGGGAAATTTGTCCACACGATTACATCATTGGCTAACCGCCTACCAATAAGATCACTCGGTAGAAATTCAAATGGATTGTAGCGGGAAGTAGGAATAAAGACCAATAATAATCAATGAAGAACAAAAATAATCAATCATGGGGAATAAAATAACCTGTGTCTGACACCGAGAAAACGAATGATTGAGGGACGCCAATTATAAAGCCTGGACTTAAACACATTTTTGTTTAGTTAAAATAACCGCAATTTAAGTGGAATTGATGAACTTTTATAAATTCACGTTTTCTCAGTCTTTTCTTATTTAGCGAGTAAATTTGTACCCAGGTTAATGATGTGACATAAAATGTAGAGTTTCTGAAATTGGCACGCAGTACTGGATGTATTTATTGAAGCAGTTGAAATGCGAGGGGTTAGCGGCTACTGCACGTGTGAAATTCCCTTGGTTGGTTTGCGCCACGGATGCAGTTTTGCCTCATTCCAGCAGTCACCAGATTCCGTGAGCTCTTTCACCTTATCGAGGTACGACTTTTCGGCCAGCCGGTAGCATTCCCGTTCTCTCTCAACCTCCGCAGCCGCCTGCTTCCTCCGCTCGCGGATCGCCTCCAACTGCTTCATGAGCGAGGCTTTCGCCGCCCTGCGTTCAGCCTCCTTGGCAGCTTCCAAGGCGTCGCGTTTTTCGCCTTGAATGCGCTGTTCCTCCAGCATCTGCTGCGTCTCCTTGTCGTCCAACGCCTTCAACTCGGCCAGTCGTTTGGCCTTCTCCTCTGCGCCGGCCTTGTGCGCAGCGAAAGCGTCGCGGTTGATTTGCACAATGTGGCATCGGCGTGCCATGTCACGCGCGACCAGCTCCTTGTGCTCCTTCTCGGCTATTTCCGCGCGTCTGCGGTCCACGTCGGCGTCGAAGCACTTGCGGTGGTCGCGGACCTGCTGCTGATGCTGCAGGAAGTACTTGGCCTCACGATTAAGCTTCCGCATGTGCGCCTTGTGGTCGGTCTGCTTCGGCAGCGGTTGCCAGAGCTGAGCCATGGCTGCGTCGAAGGCAGCTTCACGGGCTTCACGATCTTGAATGGACTTTCGCCTCTCCGCTATCTGGCACTCAAGGCTTTCGCGCAGTTTCTCCTTGCTTTCGGCCAGTTTCAGCGCTTCCTTCTGCTTCAACTCCGCCGCCTCCTTAGCTGCCTCCTCCGCCTTTCGAATCTCCTCGATTTTCTCCTGCTCACTGCCCTTCCTCTTCTCTTCAGCATCGGCAATTTGACCCAAAAGGAACTGCTGTTGGGTCTTGTTCGCGGTTTTTTTGGCCTCAATCCGAAGTTTGTCCGCCTCGACAAGTTTTGTCGGGAATCCGTCGACCTGGTTTTCAACAATCGTCTCGCACTCCTTCTCGAAGTCTCGCTTCTTCCTCCTGAAGGCGTCAATGGCCTTCTGGTCTTTGGTTACCTCCAGACGATGCGCCTTCGGTTTGCACTCGCGAATTTCGTCGCAGGTAATCTTGAACTGGCGTTTGTACTGGCGTTCGGCGATCTCGGCGTTCTTGGCTCTAATCAATTCCTTAATGTGCGCGGCTTCCTTGATGAAGTCTTCTTTGCGCGCAATTTCCATCGCCTGCAGCCTCTCCTCACAAGCTCGCATCGTTTCTCCGTACTCGCGACACAAGACCTCCCTCAGCTTCCTGCGTCTCGCCTCGAGATCTCGATTGCGCTGGTCGGTGATGGTGTCTGCTCGGGTACGGAAGAGGGCCTTCTGGCGCTTGGCCACCTCCCCTCGTTGCCACTCACGGTAGATGCGCTCCTCCTCTGCCGGCGTCATGACAACGTGCTGCAGTTGCGTAAAAGCAGCAGGCGCGCCGCTGTTTGAGCATTTAAAATGCAAATTTCTGGGACTGTTTAAAGCGTATTTTTATCGATCGATTGCTACGCTCACACGTCCGCGTATTGTTTGCACTTAACCTGCGGTTTCACAACAGCCAGCGTGTGTGCCCATTGGACGAAGCAATGTTATTTTTAAACCGATCAGCCAAATCCAGAGATTTGATAGATGCGTCACAAGTGCCTTTAATTTTAATAGGTGCTGCAAATTGGCATCATAAATACTTCAAATTAAACAAGTAAAGAGTGGAAAAATATTAACATGTTTCTTAACCCGTAATTTGAAAAGGTAGTTGAATTTTGCGTCATCTGCTTAAAATTTTTGTTTTGGTTAGAAAAGGGATGATTCCACAGCATTTACCATTGGATATGAAACGAACAAGCGATTGTTGTGGATCGCGCTGATTCACAATCGTTAATCCGATCACTTCAGTCCCGCGCGGATCCTCAACGCACCCTCGTTTGTAGATAATCAAAATGCTACAAGACACATATTGGTCAAATTATTGGGACTGATGTGGCAGGAGTGACGTTGTTGTAACTAAAATCTAGTTTTACCAGATATATTCAAACCTACGGGGTTAAACGCCATCACACACATGCTTACAGCAAGCGTCAAAATCGATACAATATGGCCAATGGTATTATCATTTGGCTGTTGGTCGGAATGGAGAGGAATTAGACTTCTAAGGACTGGTGATGTCTGTTTGTTGTTCCCAATGCTCTTGGCGTTCCTATTTTAATTTCATGGACACGTTCTTCGATTCAAATGCGCGCCGTTTTTAGACCAATCAGTAAAACAAAATTGCTTACGATGAATAGAGAGCCAGAAAGTTAGGTAGGTGTACAGTCCGTAAGCGACAGTTGTCGAGTCACTAAAGAAGTTGCCGTGGACAAAATTAGTTACAAAATTGGTTACAATGAACGGAGGGCAAGAAAGTTAGATACGTGTACAGTTCGTAAGCGACAGTTATCGAGTCACTAAAGAAGTTGTCGTGGACAAAATTGGTTACAAAATTGGTTACAATGAATAGAGGGTAAGAAAGTTAGATACGTGTACAGTTAGTAAGCGACAGTTGTCGAGTCACTAAAGAAGTTGCCGTGGACACCAGCATGCGGTCTTAAAACACGCCGGAGCCGATTACGCCATCCGCAATGTCAAAAAAGACAAGAGAGGACGTGGAAGAAACCGTGTTTCACATCGTACACCAAAAATGTGTTAACATCGACCCTTCAGTGATTTTTCTTATCCTGGACAGACATTTACGCCAGTCAGGTGTGAGCTGAGGTTCCCTGGGGCTAAAGACACGCTGCAAAAAGGAGGCATTGTGCTGGAGAATAACGATTAACGATTCACAGCAAAATGCATTTTCAATTTTTTACCATTTGCTACCAGAAATGCTCAACTCACAACACTGGGAGTTCTGTTTTACTTCCTGTAGAAATCTTGTTACACATGATGGCGCTGAATTCTCTGCATTAAAATTCCTTTTTTTAAAAACTATGAAATGCATTTTTGCATCATTGGGTTCTCTTCTGGGAGACGAAGTTCATTTATTACCCTGGGGAAAATAGTTGTAGTTTAATTAATTTCAGTTGACTACTTATAGCCACAGATGGGAATACCAAGGTGCAACTGTCCATTCAAAATTGGATGTCTGCTCACTTCGATGTGCATATTTTATCTTTTATCGGTTAATACTTGGGTAAGATTCACATCAGGGCTTTTAGCAGTATTTCACCTTGACCGCATTGACACACAATGCTCTTACCGACACTTTCAGCGATTTAAACAAAAGACGTCAACTTACCAACGATAAGGCCATACGTTTTTGCATAAGCTTGTAATTATAAACGTAAATTGTTAAATAACATCTTGTGTGTTAAGAATCGCTTCTGATCAATTCAACAATCGGTTCCAATGCCTTCTAAAAAACTGATAGCTAGAAAAAGAGTTCAGTGAGTGCTGCCGAGAAATTAAAAGCTTTGATCAGCGTAGCACCCCTATTTCCAGTGATAATAAGTGTAATCGTCCATTCAAGGTCATTAAACGCCCACCGAATCCGCGAGATATTTGATGTGACCTTATTTATTTGAATTACTGACGAGAGCCACTCGATCGGCAACAAGAATGACCTGAATTCAAGCAGCAGCGTCGTAGTAATCCGATTTGGCCATACAGATACTCTGGATGTCTAATAAGAATGGAGACGACATAAATAATCGTACATTCGATCGATAAACATAGTCATGTGTTTGTCCCTTCTGTGTATATAACGTCGGCGTGTCTAATGGCTTACTTGGCAAATATAGTTTAGTGAAACTAATGAAAGAGCAGAGGAATAGACAAACAGTTCCTAGGAAGTTGATGGAAACGCTTTAAAAACGCTGCATTTATCAAAGTACACATTGACAGAAGTAATGGACAAGAATCAACAAAATTTAAGGCCACTGATTTCAAATTTTTAGTAACGTTTGCGTTCGAGAAGCTTTCGTGTTGGAAAATGAAGTGCACATTTTTTACTAGAACTTTTTTTAAAGATGGCATTCTGTTAATATGTTGAAAATCGAACACTATTCAAATTGAATTGAGCTACGTAATTTGTAAACTTTACACCTTTATTGATATAAACAGTATTCTAGGCCCGTTAATATCGTCTTCATACTTTTGCTTTACAGTTAACACAACAATGGCTGGCTGGCTCCAACAGATAGCTTCATTCAAGTTAATTGTATTAAAGGAATAACCTAGAATAAATTTCATCAAGAAGATTTTGCTTATTTGTAATAGCCCCTTTTGCAAATTAAAGTTAAGAAAGAATTTTGATCTTTAATTTTACTTCTAAGACTATCTAGTATACAACAACTGTATTAAAAAATTCAGTGATACTTAATTGTTTAACGTGTTTCTCCTCACACAGGTCACTCTCTAAAATTTGCGGCGTCTTTAAAATCATTCCGTCGTAAACAGCTGGTAGCTCTTTTGTTTGCGCCATGGATGATGAATTAATTGGTCCATTGAAAGTGAAATTCAATGGAAAATTACTTGAATTAGATGGGTTCTCTAAAGGCTCACGTGTAATAGATCTGAAAGACGGGCTCTACCAAAGGACGAACGTTCTTCCGAAAAACCAAAAACTCTTAGGTCTGGTAGCTGAAAAAGGTGGGAATGAGACAAGTTTGTTATTAGTTACAAAGGTTACATCCTTTCGGATGAACTTCCTCTTAAGCATTTGGTTCTCAAACCAACTACGAAACTAATGCTCATGGGATGTACTGAGGAGGAGATCGTAAGCCAGCTTCATTTTATACAAACATGTAGAAAAAAGTCATCGAGCTCTCCAACGCCGAGCCGCCAGACGTAATCGATGACTACGACTTTACTGAAGAAGATGTGGAGGTACTTCGAAGGCCTGAGAATTTGGAGAAACTAGAAAGACGTTGCAAGACCTATAAATTCATCAAGATTGCAGAATTTCGGCCGGGGAAACGCCTTCTTGTCCTCGATATCGATTTCACCATTTTCGGTTAGTCATTAGACCTTCCAATGTGTGTTACTGCCGCAGTTATAAGTAAAATCGCCCATTCTAGATCATCAAACGCCCGCCGAATCTGCGAGACACCTAATGCGACCCTATTTATTTGAATTCCTGACGAGAGCCTACGATCACTATGATATTGCCATTTGGTCGGCAACTAGTATGACCTGGATTCTAGCTAAAATAAGCCAAATGAATCTAATCTCCCAGACCGTTGTAAATCGAGTTCGGAACAGACAGGTGGAGATTGCTTCAAGCAAAGACGACGAGGACAACGATAGCGTTCCGAATCTCTGCGCAGACCTCGAAATCCCAGACCAGCCGTTCCGACTTTGTCTGCTCATTGATTCAGGGGCAATTATCAGCGTCAATCTTCCCGACCATGGCGTGAAAGGGGTACGTTTGGCCGTCTTTTAATGCCTTCTCACCTTGTGTAAAGTTTGAAGTCACCGTCTTAGACCAGTTAATTTTGCCTACGTAAACATATTTTAAATGTCCAAATAACCCAATTCGAATATAGCATGCTTTCTGTTGTTTTTCGTACATCACAGGTCAAACCATTGGCCATTATTTGGCGAAAGTTCACCCAGTTCGGTCCTCATAACACGATCATGTTTGATGACGTTCGCCGAAATTTCGCCATGAATCCTGATTCCGGTCTCCGGGTAAGTAGCCCTATTCGTTTGAAAAAAAAATTACCTGAAGTCGTTAGAATGTTCTCCTTGTCACAGATTAATTAAACCACCCCTAAATGGTCTATTTGATTGACGTGGTGTCTTTCAAGCCGTTCTAAATTAATTCTCACAAACACGAGAAATATTTGAGAAAAAAAAACACATGTTAGCACAATTTTTCATTGTTTAGTTTGTAACATTACCTAAGTTGATCTTTGATGGATGCAACTCGCGGAATGCAGTCTGTTTGAATCGGTACATGGATTACGTTTCCGAAATTCCTGGAACACATGGACTGCGCTTTAGTCATCAGTTCATCACATGAATCATTTATTTCCAGTGATTATCGTAAGAATCTTTAAATGGGCCGCTACCCTATACTGCTTTACGCAGACAGCGGGTCACACTTGGATTGGGTTCAAACTATGAGTGATCTCGTCGTCCACTGTATTCACTGGATCTTTGAACATCGTCTTCACAATGACGGCTTTCAAATTCATAAAAACCGTTTCCTTGTCGACCAAAAACCTGGTGTTTCATGCCTTGGTGGTCGTAACGGTTTCTCCCGTTGGCTGTTACCTTCTAGGGTAGATTTATAGCTGTTTCCTTTAAGATACATTCCTACCGTGACGCCAATGTGAACTACGCCACAGACAAGGAGCTATACTACCTCGCCGACTACCTGGAGCTCATCGCCCAACGGGAGACGGACTTCCAGCGACTGAATCACGACAAGTGGGCCTCCTACGTCGAGAAACATCGTCGCCTCCTCTCCGCCAACTACCAGAAGCGTCCCTCCGACGAGGCCAATGACGCGCAGAATGACCACAAGAGATCCTCACCTTCCACATAAGAACACCCGGTTTTGTATGTGAATTGTTTCTCCTTTTTTTCGGTTTCTCAAAACACTAAATAAAGGTGTTTGTTTTGACTTACTACGACAAATTACTCAGTTCTACACACCCTCGCATGGTGTTTCCGCTTAGACGAGGTCTGGTTTATCATCGCCAGTATCATCAGGGTTGACATCTGCGCAGGAACGCATTATTGGAAACCTGTAATGAGTCATACTGGCTTGGAAGTGTGACCAGTCACGTCTGAGCGCGCATCCGCGTGCACGCCAGTGACTCATAACCAGGCATGACCTCGAGAATACAACAAGGTAGTCGGATTAAGCATTATCATGCTGTAACTGGTTTTTATCAAGTAGGCGACCCCGGTGTGGGTCCGAAGTGACCTCCTGTGTGGCGTCACCTGACCAGCCAACTCAATTTGAATCGATGGGAAGTAAAAAGAATAAAATCTCAGCTAGATACAAGCAGAGGACGGCCGGTTATTCAGCGACCTCCGAGACAGTCAGCGTTTCCAGCGTCCGCGTTGAAGGCCTGAAAGACATTCGATCGCGATTGAAATGCAGGTCCACCTTCCCCTGGGTTCCGTCGTATCGATTTTTCACAACCTAGAGAACAAAAAACGCGTCGCGATGACACAAACGAGTAGATTTTTGCTACGCCATAATCACAAACGCGAGTTATCGAAAACCCACCTGGATGTACTTCTTGGGGACAGCAGTGCCGACCTCTTCTTGCAGCAGAAGCACATTGTCGGCCTCCTGGCTGATTTTGCCGCCGCCGTAGAGCGAAGCGATGGTCAGGAGGTGGTCGTCGTCGGTTTTGCGCGGGTGAACGACGACGGTGAGGTGGGCGCCGGTGCGAGTTGTGAAGCCGCGCAGTTGCTCGACAAAGCGGTCCTGACGCTGGAATTTCTCCTCCATACGACGCGTGTCCGAGCTGCCCATCATGAATTGCAGATTGTCGAGGATGACGTGCTCGATCGCGTGCTTTTGCGTCGACTCCTCCAGGGCCTATGAAAACAGACACGGAAATCTGGACAACTGGAATTTTAATTTAAAAAAAAATACAAAGATTCTTTAAGACGCAAACCGACGGCCCTTGCTAATGTCGATGATAACACGACAAATGATGCCCATCGAAGCTTTCGAGATCTGTGACTAAACGTCATGTGGGAGTAGATGGAATCGCTCCCAAGGTACATGGACAGTCTATAAAGGCTTTTCAGAAGGGGTGTGTTCGGACAGGTTTACCTTGAGGCAAGCAGCAAGCAAGCGTGAGCGAACACGATTCAATCGATTTTCTCGAATACACTTTACGCAACTACATTCGTTAAGGGATCGACGATCGATGGATTAGTGGCGAGCACCAAGCGGGCACAGTTGGCGGTCGTGGGCAAACATGATTCAATCGATTTTCTCGAGTGCACTTTACGCAACTCCATTCGTTCAGGGATCGACGATCGATGGATTAGTGGCGAGCACCAAGCGGGCACAGTTAGCAAGCGTGAGCGAACAAGATTCAATCGATTTTCGCGAATGCACTTTACGCAACTACATTCGGTCAGGGATCGATGCTTAGTAGAGCTACATAAACGCACTTGCTATCCAATATCGTAAATTGGTTGAGCTACCAGCCATATGCATTTCTGCGCTTCTTTCGCTCGGGCCGTTTCAGCGTTTATCGCCGACCCTGGTGTGGTTCCCCAAAACCGCACCGGGGTCCGGTACAATCTCAAGACGTTTGACATCTACGATTCCCTGAAACTATGACGGGTCCCCACACGGAGATAATCATGCCCACTTGAAAAATTTGATACACTCGGCCATTCACGATGCAGAATCTTACAACGCCCCACCAAAAGGTGGGCGAGTAAACTGGGGATCCGAAGGTGTGTCAGACCACTCACCGAGAACACTTCCTTCTCCGAGGGGCGGCCGTGCATGTTCAAGAAAAACATCGGCACCTCCTCTCTGAAGGCGGACGCCCAGGCGGCAACGCGCATCGGCTGCTGGAAGTGAAGGGGTTCCCTGGAGAGGCAGAAACACTGCACTGGTGAGCTTTACTTACCCAGCAAACTGATGCAGCAGTGTGCGGCAGAGTCGGGGTAGAGTCATTTCGAAGCTGCCCCAAAGCGTCTTGACACCGCGTTCGGCCAAGTCGAGGGAGTACTCGCAGGCGAATGTGGTCTTGCCAATCCCCGTTTTGCCTGAGAGGACGGTCATTTCGTGGCTCCTAAAGCCCTTGAGGATCTTATTTAACTCCTTAAATCGTCTCCACTGATGTGGTCCGATAAGTGCAAGCAATGGAAAGGAGTTACTTGGACGCCCTGGAGTTCAACGACATTGAGGATTTCGTTGAGGGTCTTTGCCAGTAGTTCTCCGTCAAACTTCACTATTTTCATTATCCATCAAGTTTGCGCAAAAGAAAGCTCTACAAAAGGCATACATCTGTGGTAACTGGTAGAGCACGCTGAGACCGAAAGAACCCCTTTTGCGGGTAATTCGATCGTAATCGGTGAAAACTGCCACAGGAGAATGAAGCCATATTTGAGACAAGCGCTTCAAACAGGGTGTTGGTTTACAAAAGCCTCAGTTTTAGCATTTAAAACAGCGAGGGTTTGTAGGGCCGCGTGAACAAAGCGATCGTTTAAAATATAGGAGCAAATAAAGGAAATATTCGTCTGGAATTTGAACCGCTTTTGTTAAAAGGCTTTTGGAAAAAAAATGAGGCAGACAACAGAAACCCTGTTATAAGTAGCGCGTAAAACAAAATCTGGTGGCTGTACATAGGACCGTAAATTTTATAGGGCAATTTTCCGGTGATTGTTAGATTTAGCTGTATTTAAGCATCAATAGACTATGAGTATAGTGTTCATCATGACATACTCAGGCGATGTAAGTGACCGTCTGAAAAAAAATAATCAAAGGTCAAAGGCAGGGCTTATCACATTAGTAATGCTTCACACGTTCGTCATAGAAGAAAACCCACAAAGCTATCAAAATTAGCAAAATTCTTTGAGGAAGCATACTAAGTAATAGCTGTCTACCATAGAAATCTACGTACAGCAACGAAAGAGCACAGCGGCAAGAAAACAAATCACCCGCAGTGTGGTGTTTTGTGGTGTGGTGTGGCGTCGGATCGGGGCGCAGACATGTTGGACCACCTGGCCTCAGCCAATCCCGTGTCTCTCTGCGATCCAATGGCATGCGGGAAAGGAAGGCAGCCAACTAGAGAAGGACATTGATGAGATGCAGTATATAATGAGCGGCGTGGCTAGCGTGGCGGACTCGGATGGAAGGCGCCTGACGCGTGGCTCTGGCTTCTGATTGGTCAATAAAGCCTGTTCTGTTGTACCAGTCTTTTACCTATTAGGGCTCGGGTATTCTACATTGGTGGCAGCGGATGCGTTCGAATAACGCGAATCGAACCCCAGCCCTTTCTCTTCAGTGGTCAACACAGGCAAAGACCCTTAAATGCCAGCTGAATTTGTCATGGCGTTCATTCGATGTCCAAAACAAATGGATCCATAGACATTGCCCGGGATTAGGACTTCTGCATCTGAAGAGGCATTGGCAACTCAGCGACGACGACTTGGACGGTGAAAGCCAGCTGGACTGCATCTGCAAACGGACCTTCC